AAATATGTGAGTTTGTAACGTAATAATAGATCAATGAATAAAACATATTGAAATTGGTACACATATATAATTGAAGAGAAACTTAAAGTTGAAATGATTTTTTTTATTTCTAAGATTTGTAATAGAATAATTATATATGTATTATCATTAAGCTTACATAGGGTGTAGTGTGTTAGATATTTATTAATCGAACCTATAATAATGCGTAGTTCTGTAGTTATATTTTTAGTGGAGTCTCTTAATCTTTTATGTATTTTTGTACCTATTTTTTAATGTTTAGTGGAGTCTCTTAATCTTTCATATATTTGTGTACCTGTTCTTTAATATAAATAGAAGATTGTGTGAGGGATCTAGTAAACCTTCTAGAAATATATTTCTGTTTTAATCTCAAGTGTTTAATGAGTTTTTCTTTTCCAGTTAGAAATGTGTGATATTCATGTATCAATTTGAGTGAAAATTATATAAACACAATATTTTCTCATTTTAGATAACGTTGTTTCCACATGTCATTTTGTAATATCACAATAGTAATAAAATGTAATTTTAGTCAAATACAATTAATTTCAATTCAATTACTAAAGGATAAATATCTTTTAACATTTAACACTTAAAAAAAAATATTTGTTTGCCTAGCTAAAGGCATCAATATACCCTAAGAATTTGTATGAGAGAAAACTATACTTCCTAATGACCAAAGCATTCTACTAATGGCTAAACCATAGAGAGTTTTTCTAAAAACAGCTCCCTAAATGAGAATTTACTTTCTTACCGACCAAAACTCGGTTTTTCCATTAGTTGAATTTTTCGTAACAAAATTTTACTCTCCCAATGACCAAATCATTGATAGTTTTTATTTAAACAACTCACCTAACAAATTTGACTTCCTAATAACCAAATTTTTTGGATTTTCATTTAATTAATTTATAAATTCCACATAATATAATATAAAAAGTGATCCAAAAATTCCAATATGAATTTTTTATTCATTTCTTATGTCTAACATGGACTATTTTGTTCTAAAATAACATCTTAAAAAAATTTGACTTATTTGACATATTATAATTTTCCACTACTTAACATACAATAAATAAATAAATGAAATCTCATACAACATCCTTAGCTTTCATACATGTAAAACTTTCAAAACCAACTTAAGAATTTGTTTTTAAACAAATTTTGAAATTTTGATTGGACAATTTTATTGTGTTCTTCACCAAGATCCTTAAGGTGGGCCTAAATTTTCGAAAAGATGAACAAATATTTTAAAAATATAAAAACAATGTAAAGAGAAAGTGATCCATATAAATAGTGATTTTTTCTTAAAATGTGTTTAAATATATTAACTTATTGTATTCACGGTTAAATACTAAATCATTCATATTTTATGTCAATTATATATCTTTTACTTTTTTACAATTAAAATTATTCACATTTTGATTGCAGTTTTTATATTAATAGTTATATTCTTTTTTTGCTAAAATTGTTTTACTATATACCTAATAGTCTCACATCACTTAGGAGTTGAGACCTAAAACAATTTATGATTGTCAATGTTTCAATTTCAAGTGGATCGAGTGATATCGTTAAGGTTAATTACAATGTATCTGAGGTATTATCCGTTTTTAAACTTGTATTCTATCAGAGTTTTATTCTTAAGTGACACATTGGTTATGAAAAAAATATTTAAATTATCTTAAGTTTCTGACTCTCAGAGGATATAAGACTATTAAATGGTTATCAAAATAAAAAATCTAGATAGACGTGATTTTTGGTTCTGTTTTACATCTTTTTCTTAAAAGAGTAGATGTATTTTTTTTTTCTTTTGAGAGCATGATATTTTGAGGCTGATGAATAGATACAATTTTGGGACGTTACGTGGTTGGTCTAAAACTATCTAAAACTATCTTGTGTGAAGATTCCCCATAAATTGATCGTGAATAAGTGTGATAAACTGAATATACACATTTGTTAGTTTAGGTGCGTATACTATGAAACATTAGAACTATTTTGCATCATGATTCATGGATTGAATAAATTAGTTTGTAGATGGAGCGAAGAGTGGCCTTTTGAAGTGCATGTCTGCCCCATTTACACCTAGTAGTATGACATACACAGTGTGAGTGACAGTGAGGGACCATAACATACCATAACATGTACTATACACATAAACCGTGGGGACCAAAATACCCCACTTACCACTACCCATTCCAACCAACATAAATACTCATTTTCATTTCAACCTTCTCACTTTCCACTCATACTAATAATAACAACAATTCCTTTATCATAATTTCCCTCTAATTTCTCCCTATTTTCTTAAACAATGAAACTCACCCTTCTTCAAACCATGCCTCATTCAAAATGCTTTAGATTACATTCTGGAAATTTTATCCAATCCAATTTCCCCTTCTTATGCTTAGCCGAATGTGTTCTATTTTAATTTGAATATGTTAAACCCTTTCAAACGTGTTACCAAAAAAATTAGCCATGATAAAGAACAACCAACTTATAGAAATGAGGCTGAATTTTAAGTTTTCATCTCCAACACGGCATCACCAAATCTAACTTGCTTGATATTGAATTTTCTGAATATAATTATTCAAAGCTTAGGTCTTAATGACTTTATATTATTGAATGATTTTGTCATAACATCATTTTTTTATCGACAAACGTTAATTATTAGTATCACGTTAGTAAAGAAAGTTAAATTCATAACTTCTCTTACCCACTTCAAAATTAGGAGTTATATAGTTGATTTAACAGTAACGTTGAAACAAAAAGTGAAATAAGTTGTAGATTCAATTCCTTCTAAAAACAAGATACAATTGTATTTCTTATATAAGAACAAATAAAAAAGATACTTTTAAAATTAATATATGGGAAAAAAAATTGAAGATTTGGGAAAGAATGAAGAACGTTAACAATAAATAATTCTCAGACAAAAAAATTCACTTTCATAATCCAAACATGTGCTAAGAGTGACAGAACAATATTACAATGTTTATCTCAACATGCGAAGGTGTCCCTACGACTAGACATATATGTGAGTATGGTTAACAATGGATTGTTACATTGTCTCAAATGCTAACAGCAAGATGCCAATGTATGGGGAACATGTGTTATCTTGCTTTGTCGTTGTACATTTTTTTTCTTATGATTAAAATCTAAACATATCCTACAGTTATTTAAAAAAAAAACAAAGTACCTAAACAAAAATATCTTTTATAACTCTAACTGAATAAAAAAACTAGTTTTTTGTTTTTTTAACTTTATAAACAATATATTTTTATGCTAAAATAAATTTTTTTTCCTGAATTTGAAGTTAGGGGTTCCGTACTTTATTTGCTGTTGCATATGGAAAAATAAAATTAAGAGGAGATATAAAAGTATAATGACAGGTAATGAGGTTAGTAAAACTCAGGATATAAAACTAAATAACCAGACATACACCACCTATATAAAGTTTATAATCAAAATCTTACAAATGTAAGACAACTTTATAATTTAGTTATTTTTACAAACACCACCTGATATAAATGTTTACCTTTTATTCTTATTTATAATTTTTTTCTTTACTCCTTTCTTGTATACGATGAAGTCATGAATTTGCTTCTGCATCATACACGGTATTGCAAAATAAAATAGTTACTGATTAATTGCACAAGCAAAGAAAAATTTATTTAACACATTTACTGTAAGGGGTTTAGGGTTAAAAATAGACAATATTTCTCTTACTAGTTAGGGAAATTCTAATATCATTCTGACCAACTTCACCGTTTATTTTGATCATATATAGAACACTCTAAACTTTTACAACTATATTACCCATATAGTATTTTCTTAACACAGTTTTACATTATTAATTTTTTCAACTTAATTTTAATATAAAAATGAATAATCTTAGATATATTCCAATTTAAAATAATTATTAAATCTAGTATCTAAGTGTATATATATATATATATATATATATATATATATATATATATCAGTTCATATATAACTCAATAATAGTGTGGATGACTTTTATACTGGGATATCATTCTGGTTGAATTCTTTTTCTCTATATGCTCGCTTCATTAGTTGTAACATCATGCATAGACTTATTTCGTTTTTCTCATGATTAATATTGGTTGTACAGAAATAATTTATCCACTTTTATGGCAAAAAGGAGACACTATGATCGTTAAACTCCTTGTATGTCAGTCAAAATCCAAACAAAAAATAATGGCCTTGTATCCTCCAGCAAGGGGAGAGAGGACACCAAGATCTGTATGCAGTACGAAGAAATAGGGCAAGATAGTGAAGAGAGTGGGTGGCATAATTTGAACAAGTGGAGCAAATATATGTGAACCAAGATTGGACAGCGATGCCAGCACACAAATTTCCATGATAACATCTTAAATAGACTGAATTATCACTGTCATAAATATTCAACAATATATTATTCTGCAAAATAAAAACCTTCTACTACTTAGATCTTTGACCAATAATGTATAAAACAAGAGGGGTAAATAATAATGGATCTATGGGATGAAATATCTCTGCTGTTGAGATTATCTACCAAGGGTTGAACCGACCAGGGCTTCATATTGTAGTGATTTTTGTGCATGATAAAGCCAAAACTTTGACATGAATCTAAGACAAAGTCCGTGGTTGGACAAAACCAAGTTCCAAGCCAGCTTCAATTTTCAGTGATCTTCATATGCAAGCCACTTGGAAGAATGTCCATATTTATAATATATTTCATTAATTCCACCATATAATATTAAATGTCGTAACAAGGACATACTGTTAAACACGGGAATCCCACCCCCCATCCGATAAAACTACAACAATCAGTAATTAAAAGCACTAGTTTATCAAGGTAACAATTCACTATAATTTGGCACCACAAAAACTGCAGGCTGAAGAACTTTGTATATATATGTATATGTATATCTTCTGGTAAAAGTGCATATAAGCGTTATAGGATTTGATAGATGATTAAGTATGATGTGTGGATCTGAATAACAGAAGCTGAGCACTCTCTCTTACAATACAAAATGACATGAGAAACATGAGATATGGCGAACTAAAATCCAAATATTAATTTCTCTCTCTTACTCTCTGCATTATGTGTGTGTGTCTTTATTGGCTCAAGATTTGGATAAAGTGATGTTTGAATATATATTAAGAAACTGAAAAGACACCATTTCTCTTGCAGCATTCCTGTTGAAAAGGAATATTCATAGATCTGTGAAGTCAGCATATAAAGGACCTAACACTCAGCCGCTCCACTGAGCCTCCAAAATCCAAATAGCCAATGTTCGATAACCTAGTACTGTCTGCAAATGAAAAAGAGCTAATTAGTGTGGAAAAATAATATTTAAAAGACAGGAAGGGCATCCAGTAATGTGAATAAACAAAAATTTAGCACTGCAAATTGCAAACAGAAAAGATAGATAGATGAAAAAAGGCACCTGACAGCAACAGAAAGGAAAGCAGAAAGAGTCACCTCTCCTTGTAATGCATCGTGAACTCATGGACAATGCCTGGAAGTTTGAGCTGTGTATGTGTGTGCATATGTGTATACCTACCACTTTCTTTCTTTTTTATCTTCACTCTTTAATTGGGGTGTCTCTACTCGCAGTACTTGTTCAACTTTTTAAAGCCGTTTATGGCTGATGCAGCATCATCAAGATTCTCACATCAAAAAGACCAGCGCTTAGATTGCATCACAGTCCCATCCACCTTCATTTGCATGTGAATCTTGATGATGCTACATCCGCAAACAACGACTGTCAATCTGTCCATGCAACTATAGCTTCTGAAAAAGAGAGGTATGCACATACATAGACATGTGTATATATTTAGAAGCTATAAAGCATTATTGCCACTTTTAGTGAAACGTATGTATGGCTAAAAAGCTCAATAGGTTACTCCAATAGTGAAGACCAGTTAATGTCACGGAAATTTGTCCAGAGGGAAAATAAATTAAAAAAAAAAAAAAAAGGTGAACAACATGAAACAGAGAGAAAGCAAGAGAGGGTAAAAAATAGAAAAGAAAGAGGGGACACGGAAAATTGAGATTTTATGTGGAATTTTAGCAGCAAGGCCACGAGGAGTCGCTGATGTGGCCTGTTGCAAGTGGTCAGTTTGTGTTTGCCACACGAGGCCAGTTGGGTACCCCGAATGGAATCTAACCACATGAACTCAATTCATACCTCAAGAACAAAAGAAAAGCCAAAACCCCAATTAAAATAAATAAAAAAGAAAACAACAAAATTCAACCACTCCATAAAGAACAACAAAAGCGCTTACTTTCAGACCCTCCAACGATTGAAGAAAACCAAACCAGCCGGATTCAAAGCCAGCTAACTATACTTTTACAAAGTACTTGTTTTGCTGTGTTGATTAAAAAGAACCATACTTTCGCTTGTGTAAACAAAAAGAGATTTTAAAAAAGAACCCTTGATGTTAGAATCAAAACCAAACAGTAATCCCTCGAAAAGGGAAAGACTCACGTACCTTGGCAAATCCTTATAGGAAGGAGTAGTTTCTCAAAAGATAAAAAGGGCACATCGAAATATTTCATATTTATATTGTACCCTTGAAATAGATTATAGATCAGAGTTAGAATCGGAAGGAGGAGATATAGAGATATAGAACATATAAAAAAACCATACACAGCATGTTCCAATACGACTAAGATCTAAAGCTGAGAGGAAAAGTATGGAGAAAACGAAAGAAAAAAAGGTGGGAAGAGAGAGAGAGAGAGAGAGAGAGAGAAGGAAGTGTGTGTTGAATGGTAACAGTGGAAGAAGGTTGGGGGAGTCATATATAGGGGGAGGAAGGTGAATCTGTGTGATGGTGGAAAATATATATTGGTAATGAAATTGGTGATTTGGTTTCTCTATATTCTCATTGGTTGGACTTAGCTGTATATATGGTACTGTGTACCTGGTTTTATGTGGCCAAGATACTCATTCTAATTTCCCCTAAACCCTAATTTCAACTCGTTGGCGGAGGGATGACGCCACAAAAAATAACCTCCTCAATTTTCCTTTCATTTCAAAATTATTTTTAAATTATAAGCTTAAACAAAATTTATCTTTCATCAATTATAATAACGTAACATAGATCGAACACGGTTTTCCTTAAATAAATATTTATTTTTCAAAATAAAAGAAATGGCTTTTCCAAAAGTGGAGTTTAATATATATATATATATATATATATATAT